TAATCTTTTTTGGCATTTCTTAGTTCTATATTTACTTTATTCTTAGTTCTTTGATAACTTAACCAATCATTTTCGAGGTTCGTAATAATGGCTTTTCTTTTAAGCTTGTCCCTTGTATTAATAAGTTCTTTTATGGAACTTGTAATCCAAGGGACTCGTCTTGTTCTGATCTTTTTGTTTTGAAGGGGTGCATGTTTGTCTAAAACTTCTAAGAATAGCATTTTCCAAATTTCGCACTTTGCATTTGGAGTTTCAGCAAAAAAATACACATTTTCCCACTGTTGTTGCATCAGATCCGCAACAAATTTTTGGGTATCAAATTTCTTCATATTTCTAATTTTCAATTGTGTTTTCTAGTTTCTTGATAACAGAGATCTTTCTAATTGCAAAAACTAAGCTATGGTCACTTATTCCAGTATGGATAACACCAGAATCAGAAACTTTTTCTGGAGTATTAGCTATTATGTGGTCAATAAGGGTGGAGGTTGTCATAGTTACTCGGGTAGGTTCCTGAATTAATTGTGACAATTGATACAATTCATATTAAGATTTAATTTTCTTTATCGGCATATTTTCATTACCTGTCTTTAACATATCACAATTTAAATCACCAAGAATATAGAATTCTTTATTTTCATCATCGAAAGCTTGGATTAAGTTTTCAAAATGCTCAAAGAAATCTGCTGATGCATTGGGTGGTCTATAAACTGTTGTGACTAGAAATGGTTTGCTATGTGGTTTGATAATTTCTAAGCAAACAGCCTTTAGTTCAGTGGGAATCAGATCATTTCTTATGTTGTAGTTTATGGAGTTACGCAAGTAGATACATACTCCACCCCCATTTCTTGATCTGTCTTTTCTAATTATATCATAATCATTCAAGTGAAGTATATTTATCACTTATTTACTGAGACCGAGGGAAACAGTGAGTTTCGTGCACCCGAGACCGTCGATGGTCGAGGGTCCACAAAACACACTGCTTTTCCCGAGGTCTCAGTAAATAAGTGTTTTATTATATGTCAATAGTCAAAGAAACAATAAATTAAAGAACAAATGAACGTAAATACATGAAATATTTTACTGTTAAAACGTCATATTAAACACTGGCTACACTGCAGTTACTTAAAGCGAAAGTTTTAATTACGTACTAGGCATGTCCAAAGGTCGCATCTTCACGTGATGGCGCACGTGATTTTTTTTTGTTATTTGCCGGTCGATAACGTATTATCTCCCTCTCGCGCTGTTGCGAGGGAGACGGCCTAATTTCGTCACTCTCACGTCATATGCTCTCAACCAATAAAACACTAGAAAAATGCGACTTTGACTATTGATATATAATAATATTATACCTCAAATTCAAATTGTCCAACCAGGAAGCTTAGTTTGTGCCACGTGAGCATGAAATTAATCGCGATATCACGCCTTACGTCATCAATTAGCGAGCCTGCGCTCCTTTTGACAATGTTCCACCCCATGTTCCCCGGGGAACATGGGGTGGAACATTATTCGCGTAGACCACGCGGGACAACACGCATGACAACAAGATGGCCGACAAAACATAAATAGTATTAATGAGTGATGAATAATTCAATTTTAAACCTAAAACCTGGGGCTTTTTCAAACCTAAAACCCGGGGCTTTGTCATTAATATTCCAAACGATATGTGATTCGAAAGAAAAGCGACGACACTTGCGTTAATCCGAAAATAAAACATCGTATTCACGAAGGTCGGAAGGTATGTGTCAAGTTTTTAATTCTCAACTTGGAGGCTTTTAATTTTCGGTATAATATATCATTTATAGACCCTCCGCTCGGGGGATTCGGCGAAATATTACCCTCAGTGATGATATTTCCCTCGGGGCAAAGCCCCTCGGGAAATATCATCACTTCGGGTAATATTTCGCCGAATCCCCCTCGCTCCAGGTCTATAAATGATAAATATCACTTATACTTGAATCAAGTCGAGTCTCATTGAAAGCAATTAAGTCAATGTTCTTGCTTGACATTGAATATCTTATTTCATCATTTTTTTTGGGTAAGCTAACAACATTTAGAAAAGCCATTTTAAAACCTCTTTCTTTAGAGATAGAGCTGAGACAGGTGTGAAAATCGCTGCTTACATTATTAGAATTACCTGCACTAGATATCATGTCATCATTCGCCTGACACGGTTAAGGTGAATTGTCCACTCCTCTGGCCCGATGACCATAAACTTTGGATAAAAAATGGGCATTCCTACTATCTGCAGAACCCTGCAGAGTACCAGGGATTCTAGCTCTAACTCTAAGTGATTTCAGATAAGAGCAGAAAGCACTGCCAAGCGCTATATCGCCAAATCGGTTTAGGTCATAGATATCTTATATACACTAGATAGTGCATCTAATTATACTGCAATTCAAAAATTGAAGCCGTGATTGCAGTCTCAGGTCGTTCCCATGAAATGAGAAGGTTCGTATGTTTTCTATTTCTCAAACAGGGAACTTAAGAGGAGATTTTTTTAAAAATTGAGAAACTCGCGATCAAAAATACCGTGATGCTTTGCGAAAAAATAGTAAATTTTGTTGTTTTTTGGAACATGGCGGCAAAGGAGTGAACGTGTTTAAATTTTGCTCTATTGATCTCATGAAAACTCGCTCGATGTTACATCTAAGACATGAAATGGTATATTCAGCATATTTTCCTGTACTGGAAGTTAATAAAACGTCTCCACGGCGTTTTAAACAACAACAACGTGCTTCGAACTCTGGAGGTGTATACTTCGAATGCAGAAGCCAAGAAGGTACGAATATTTTAACTGCTTCAGTTCTGTTTTTATGTGGCTAGATCTTAAAAATAATTCCGTCAATAGCAACATATATGCCTAAACTTTGTGTCTTTTCTGCATCGATTTGATCTTGGCCTCAGATATTTGTATTTTGCCTTTTGAAGTGAGCGACCTTTCTTCGACTTTAAAAGCCCCATTGTCGTTCGCTCCCACAAATTATCCTGCAAATACACCTTGAAATTATGTTGATTTCACAAAAAAATTATTGCATGTGAAAGAGTGTTATCGTATGCCCAAATAAATCTCAATTTATGCATGTATTGAAGCGTACTGTGTTGATAAACGTCCATTTTCCTTCTGCAAACATTATTATTGTATGTCATTTTTCGCGCCAACTTACAAAATCGATTCACCTTGGATATTTTAGATATTTTTACGTTTAAACCAATTGGCGCACTGTGGGACTTATAGTACATTGTAGTACAGTCTTTGAGGATAAAAACAGTGCCTGTTTGAAGAAATTTTAGGTGAATGGTCCTCGCACAATTTTTAAAAGTAAATGTTTTAGTTTCCCATTTTCCTCACTTTTTGCTAAAATAGATGGCTTTTGTTTTGATTGTTTTAAAATACTCTACCTAATGGTTAAACATTAATAGGTTTCCTAACTATGTAGCTTTGTAATCAAGTACCATTATAATGCTGGCCAAAATCTGGAAGAAAACTCTGAAAAAAAAATTATGAAATTTTTTGATCATGAAAATGTTGATTTTCTGCCAAGTGGGCAAAAGAATGACTGAAAGGCTTTACAAAATTGCAAAAATAATGCTTAATATTGATTGGCACACCGCAAGGTGTATCTACGCTTGAAGTTTATGTATTACACTTCAAAGTTAATATGGTTTGGGAAAATTTTAGGTGCATGGTCCTCGCAGAATTTAGCCATTTTCATCGGCTTTTCTTTTCGAGTTTTATTGCATTTAATTAAGGTGGCTCTATGATGTTTTGCAAGCTGTAAGGAAATATGTGCTGAAAATGCAGTAGTCTTCATGATTATAAATCACTATGGATATCAAAACTTTTCTAAAGTGTATTTTAGCATTTAGGGGCTGTTTACATGAGCCTGGCTAGCCACTTGTAGCCGGGCTGGCCCGGTTAACTGAGGCGCCCGGCTTATTACAAATTCTTTAACAAAACAATTTTAGTTTATATGTCTAGCCCGCCTAGCCGAGATCTCACTCGAGTCAAACAGGGCGCCCAGCTAACCGGGCAGAAATTTTCCCATGTAAGGTCACCAGCCCGGGTAACCGGGCTAGCGAAAAAACTTCTGTACAAGCTACAATATCGATTTGAATTAGTACTTTTTGGACAAATAGTTATTTCTTAAGTTGTTCTTAACATGCATTTGGCTTGTGTGACAAATCCCCCCCCCGCCATATTTGGCTTGATATTTAAAGTTTCAGCCCTGTTGATTGGGCTAGCCAGGCTCATGTAAACAGCCCCTTAATGGATTTGTACACTATATGTCACATGTGGTTGCTATGGTAATCTGAATTCATTTGCTAATTATTTTCTAACAAGATTATATTTTGTATTGATTTCTTTCCCTGCTTTTGCTAACATTAGAGCACTTTTCATTAGCCCTTAGTGTTCCTAGCACATACATCAGTCCTTGTCATAAGCAGACAAATAATTTTCCTAAAAAATTCCTTTTTTTATCAATTTCTTCAGGATCATTGCAATGGTAACATAATTAACCCACTAAGCTGCAGAGCTAGCATTATGTGGAACTAGCAAAACCAGTAAGTGGGATGAATTTGTTTTGTTTATATGTCAGAAAGTTTCATATAGGAAAGCTGTCACCTCTCGTCAGTGGCGTGCTGGGTACTATTTTTCTGGGGGGGCCAGTCGGCTGGCAACCAATATGCGCCCCTATAATATTACGCTTGATAAACGAGGGCCGACGGCACGAACCGAGCGCCGCAGGTGCGAGGTTTGTCTAAGGGAGTCCGGGGGCATGCCCCCAGGAAAATTTTTGAATTTAGAGTCTCTGAAAAGCCATTTCCTGGACTTTGGGGGAAGATTTGACAGAAATCTGATGGTCAGGAAACGGCATTACAACGTGTCGAAATTTGCAAATTGGTTAGAATTTAGTAGTAGTAGTACTTAAATTGGGCAATGTTAACTACTTCCAGCAATTAATCTAATCCCAATTCTATTCTCTACTGATCTGAATACATTGACAACTTGCAGCTCTTTTATACAATAACACACAGACCCCACGCATATTCATTTTAAGGTTTTCTTGCCTGTCTGCCAAAAGGGCGCGTTTCAGCATTATATCTCGTTACTTACATTACTCATGATGTTTCTTGCGCAAACAACTAAATTGCGTACACAACTTTACATTATCATAACTTCAACTATCTAATTTGCGTCGCTCTCGTGATTCGTGAAGCATAATAAAGGGCATAATATAAGGGTATAATACCAGCAAAAAAGGGCATAATTCCCGTGATCGCTTATTCGCTTCGAAGCCTGATCAATATTCCGGTAATGAGACATTGCGTGTGATCACTAATCATGTTTCTATATGAACGAGTGATTTCGTGTGAATCATCAGTAGCAAATACGGTTGGACAAAACAGTCTGCAATTTAATATACTCACTTTGTCGCCTATGCGCTTAGTCTGTTTATAAGTCTATAAACACATCTTTCCTTGGCGGAATTAGTAACTATATTTTTTCGAATGCGTTTCTTCCCACCCACTTTCAAAATTCGGCGCGGGATCGGCGCCCCCTTTTCATTTTTGCGCCCCCCAAAAATTGCCAGCTGGGGGGCCGTGGCCCCCCGGCCCCCCCTGCCAGCACGCCACTGCCACTCGTCTTTGATCAAAATTACCTTTGCTTACCTCAGGATGAAGTAAAAATAGTTTTTTCTGAGAATAGGCCCTTCCAAGGTTAAGGATGCCGTCTTGAATATATTGTTTTCACCATTGTGTTTGTACCCCTTGCAAATTTACCTCTCCTATAGGGAATTCCATTGTGTTTGCACCCCTTGTACTATTGTTTCATTATGGTATTGTCAACCTTGGAAGGGTCTATTGCTTTCAGTTATGGAGACTTAACACCATATACTGAGTTGATTTGAGTTCATTAACCCTTTAAGTGGCAATGTACCCCATTGTGCCTTACTTTAGTATTTTACTCTGTCTAATGCCAGATGATTTTACTCAACATCGGGTTTGAGCAATTCAAACAGTGATAGTACTTAAAAAAGGCCTGTGCTGTACATAGTGATATCTCTCTTATCAGGCAAACCCAGCTTTTGCAGGAAAATCTCCCATGTTTGAACCTCTTTCAACATACTGCTCTTATTAATTTCATTGGGAAAAAAAACATAGGTGGGCATGGCCAGGAACCAATTAGATCATGTATATACATTGTAATAAATTTTCAAAAAATATCAGATTTTCTAAGAAGATCTTTTCTTGCAGGCTATTAAGAAAACATGAAACGAAACAAGATGAAATGAATATTTATTAAATTACAGATTGTGATACAAATTTAATTGTGATACAAATTTATCTATTGTGTGGATATTACAAAAAGTTTATAGGATGTACAAAATACTCTGCAATGTACCAACATCTGTCATCATAATCATATCTTCAAGGTTGTAAAAGTAATATTGCAGAGATCTGTAAAAAATATACTTTCATTGTTAACTTAGAGGGAAAGAAGTATTCTTTTGTGTAGCAGTGGGATGGATTTACTTGGGGGTATTGGGGGAGGCGGTTCTTCGTGAAATAAAGTATTGGGTCTTTATGACTTTATAGACAACTTTGATTTCCAAAAATTGACATGCCTGTCTGGGGTCCATAGTGATGATGCATCCTACCTCAGTTGTTGGTCAGGCCCTAACCTGCCATCAGGCCTATAAATAAATAAATAGGCCTGAAACAAACCTAAACAAAAGTACATGCCTTACAACCGTATTTCAGTTGTAAATCTGGTTGGTCTACGAGACAAAAGATTTTTCAATCTGTCATTTGATTGGTTGGTGTTAATTAGATTATACTGTTGTTGTTGATATATTTTATAGTGATCACAACTATAATCAGATTGTTGTTGTCGTTGAGCAAAATTTTAATTTCTCCTGTTACATTTTGATTGGATACTAAATATAAACTTTGTTGTGGGTAGAAAGTGATTGGATTAAGATTTGTGTCAGGTTATCCGTATAATACAGCCCAATCTCAGGTTAGACCAGCCCGGGCTTAGCGACCCTCATACCACATCAAGTTATATGCATGAGGGAAAGTAGGTTGTTTCAACTATTAATTTCACTTGCAATTGTTACTTATATCCCATGACATTTTGGTTTCCAATTACTTTAATATACTGTATACATATACTGTAAACCTCCGACTA